GATGCCATCCGGGGCAAGTCAGATAGAAAATGGGTTTATTTCCAGATGCTCAGGGAAAGTCATTTTGATTTAACAAGCAGGCAATAGTGAGGTATCTTGAGTTTTTATTTCAATCCTACTCCACAGGAAACAATATTCGCTAGCATTATCTTCCTTACATTTGTTTTTAATTTGACGCAATACTGTGTTAAATATAAAATACTGATTGAACAAGAATGGATGGTGAAAAACACGAGATACTAAAAAGATCCCTCAAACCCTCCTCCACAGACATCCTGAATGTTACATGTTGTTTAAAATTAGTATAAAATAGGAGGACAATCTGATAACCTGCTCTGTGTCTCCTACCCTGCTTTGCAAGGGAAGGACTTAGGGAACAAGAGAAGAGGGGGGACTTCTCAATTATGGAGAAGCCCACTCAGCAAATCTGGGCTCAAGGCAGGGTGGCAATGTCCCCGGCAGAGCCTGGCCACCCATTCCCACCCAGGCATCTGCCCTGCCCTGGTTTTTCAGCAGAGATGAAGTGGCCTCAGAAAGGTCCTTCTAGCACCTCCCTGTGCCTCGGGACCCCCCGGGATGGATTTAGGGCCCAAAGCCCCCAGTGACAAAATGGCTTCTGAGATAAATCCCTTGGGATGAAGCCTGTGGACAAAACGTGATGGTGGTCCCTGGGCATCCTCAGCCCCTGCCAGGGGATGTTTGCCCACCGGCTGGGTCTGTCCCCAGGGTGGTTTCCCCATGGGATTTAGTGATGGAAGGGGAGGAGATCTGGGCACGCTGAGCCGCAGTTGCCACCGTGCCCCACGGGGGCTCTGGGGATCCAGTGCCCCAGACTCGGGGAAAATCGAAGCACATATTTGCAAAGCGCTGTTTGTCCTCCAAGTGCTTCACAGGGCCCTCACACGAGCCCTGTAAGGTAGGTCGGTGTCTTCACCCCCATTTTAAAGATGGGGAAACTGAGGCACAGAGTAGGGTAATGACTTGCCAGACAGGAAAAATGGCACCTCCTGCTCTGGGACCCCATATCCCGCTATTCCAACCCCAGACATGCTCCACCAACTGCTGGTTACTCACAGATTGTCCTTCTCCACCCCTCCATCTGTGGTAAGTGACGGAGAAGGGCTGCGTCCTGGGAGCCTGGGAGAGGCAGCAGCAGAGACCGGGCTTACATTGGGTCATTCAACCCCTGTCCCTAAGACCACCCCAAGAGGTGTCCCAGCCCAAAGGCTGCTTTGGGATACCCTGGGCAGAGACCCCCCTAGCAGCCCCATGCCAGGCTAGGGTGCCAGGCACAGCACCCGAGAATCCTTGTAGGAAGCCTCTGCCTATGGAAGTAAAAACCCATCAGGTTTTTTTTGCCAACCTGGTGACCACAGCCACCATGTCAGGAGGGGAAGAGTATCTGGATGCTTCTCTTTGGTAATTTGCTGCAAATGGCACGGCCCTGGAGAGCTGGTCCTGGGGTACCACAGGCTGGGGGGGGACCCTAAGCTCTGCGGGAGGTGGGTCAGAGCCAGGAGCTCGGCTCCTTGGCACACTGCCGGAGAAACAGGAGATGTGGGATGGTGGCCATAAATCTCCTTCGCTTGCCACGTTGCACTGAGACTGCTGCAGTTGCAATTAATCAAAAGGCCAAAGAGATGATGGGAAATCAATGTCCTCAGGGTCTCCTGGGGAAGGTCCAGGCAGGGCTGAGAGCAGCGCTGCTCTGCTGGCTGGCTCCCGGCACAGACCCCGGCATACACCAGAGCCCGGCATGCACCAGACCCTCCCAGCTCAAGGAGCAATACCGGTGTGTTTGGGGAGTGGGACCGGGTGTGGGTTTCCCATTCCAGCAGCATCGGGGCTGCTCCTGATGCCTGGGCAGGCACTTCATGTCCCGTTATCCGCCCTTGGAGAGCACCGCGTAGCCGTGGTTAGGGATTTAAAAACCAGCTAGGACCTCCCCATCACAGCTTACCTCTGAGCATCACACGAATATGTCCCTTCCCTGTGGCATTCCCGGGAATGTCAGAAATCCTCCCAAAAGTGGATTTAAATCTAATACTGAGCAAGAGGCTCATCATCAAAATGGGAGCAGAGAAGACAGGCAGCCCGGTCATCCCAGTTCAAGGAGGTTCGCTTCCCTCCCTCAAGGAGAAAGAAAATCCCCTGACGCGGATGGGCTGACCCCAGCCAGGTGGATGCCAGGAGCCGGATCCCTGCTCTGCTCTCCGCCAGGCAAAGGCACGTGCACGGCAGAGCCCGGGAGCGGGGCCGTGATTTGGGGCTGCCGCCATCACCAGGACCAGAGGAAAACAAAGCGCCTCAGGGAGAAAATATCCGTGGGGGCTCCGAGGGCTTGTCTAGGGGAGACATATGGAGTTGTGCACTTAATATTGGCTTAGAGAAAGGGTTTTCCAGAGCCCTGGAGGAGATTCAAGTTTCAATCTCATGTAAGGCTTTGTTGACTCTGGACCTTCCCATCAAGAATGTGGGAGGGGGTGGTTAATGCTGACATGACTTAGGGCCATTTAGGAGCCAAGCTCGGATGGTGGGGGGGTGTCAGCGTGCCCCCCTCCCAGCTGGGGCAGCCGCATGCCCAGGTATCCCAGGGGAAACGGGACAAGTCTCTCCCCCTGCCCCAACACCTACAGCCCCCTTGGGTGGCCCATGCTAAGGGTTCTGGTAGCCAAACCCAGGGTATCACTAGCCAGGGGTGTGCAGGGCCAGGGCCCCTGCTCCCGCAGGATGCTTGAGGTCGGGAGGGTGAGCAAAGCCCCCCCAAGCTCCCCAGCGAGCAGTCGCTCCCCTATCACCCGCAACCCATTGGTCAGTCACCGTGTTACAAAACCTTTGCCTAAAAAAATAAACAGTTCCCAAGGTTAAAAAAGAAAAATCTGTTTAAAATCAGCCTCCAGGCTCTCCTGTCCCTGCGGAAAGGGCACTGGCGGCTGCTTTCCGTGGGGCGGGCCCACGGTGCAGGCTGCCTCCCTGCTCCCCTCCATGCCCCCATGTGCCGGTTGGTGCAAACAATGTCCTTAAGGCGTCTACCGGGATGTTTTAGCCTCCAGCGCGCCAGGCCGGTAGAGGTACCTCCAAATGGCATAGTAGTGGATGCCAGCTCCAATGGCCACAAAGAGGTGCCAGATGGCATGGGCAAAGGGGATGCGGCCGTCGCTTTTGAAGAAGACCATGCCCAGGCAGTAGGAGAGTCCACCAGCCACCAGCTCCGGAAGGCCGTCCCTGTTGGGCTGGGAGCAAGCAAGGAAGCAAGGCTCAGTGATGGCCATGGCATGTCTGCCCTTTCCCCACGGCTCCATCGAGACCAGGAGCTTGGGCCCAGCTGCGAGGTGCAGGCAGGACCATCGCTCTGCCTTCTCCTACACCCTCCCTCCAGCAAGGCGGTGGGGACCCAGCAGCCTGGCTTTGCTTGGATGCTTTTCAACGGAGCCTGGGCAGCAGGTCCGCCGGAGATGCACATGGTATCTGCTGGGCACCCGAATCATTTGCTAAACCGAGCCAGGCCACATCGTATTCAGGGATGGCTTTATCACTATCATGTAGCCTGGATGATGCCAACCCACTGGACTTATCCCTCGCGCTGAGCCCACCTGCTTCCCGGCAGGAGCTTACCATGGAGAGAATGACCAAGGCAGGGAAGAAGCCCATGATAACGTAGCACACCAGCTCCACCAGCTTGTACCTGCGACCAACAGAGAAGCTGCTTGGAGGCAGGTACAGAGGAAGCATTGAGTTTTACACTTGCAATGTCCACTGCCATGCTATAGGAAAAGGGTTGGCGGTGCCACCACAGCAGGTCCCACATCCTCATGCATGAGCCACACCACCACAGGAGGGCTGGCACCCTGCTACAGGGGTGATGGAACCCCCACCTTGGCTTGGGAGCCTCCAGCTCAGGGCCAGGCGCCTGGGGCTTTGGGGAGACATCTGAGGCCTTTTGCTTTCTATTTGGTGCCACCACGTGGAAGAAGCAACTCACGGCAGCACATCCCTACTCCCAGGTCCCTGGTCCCATATTCCTGCTCCCACATCCCTGCCACCAAAGCTCCTAAAAAGAAGGTGCAGGTGAGGAAGGACATGGTCCAAGGAAGTCCTCCACTTCCAGTTGGCCAGGAGGCTGCCCAGGGACCCTGTATCTGTCTGTCTGTCTGTCTGTCTATCTCCATCCTTCTACTCTCCCCTTCAGCTCGACTACCATTGGGGCACTAAGAGGAGCTGGCAGAGCTTAGCTGGGCTCTGTGATACCCACTAACGCGGGGCCAGGTAAAAGCACTCACCGCTCATGGAAGAAGAAAACGTAGACGGTCCCGATAGACGCCATGATCCAGATGATCCACCGCATATGGGAGGCCCAGGGACCCAACTCCCGCAGGTTCAGCCTGCAAGAGCCGGGTCTGCGGTGAGTGGGGTCCAGGGCAGCGCCCCAATCAGGGCTGTGGGCAGCGAGGGGGAAATGCTGCCCTCATCCCCATGGCTGTCCCACCAAAGGGTCCTCCCAACTTGTAACTTCAACTTAAAGGGTTTGAAATCTATAGGATAGGAAGGTTTTATGGAAAGGGGTAGGGTACAGCCTTGAGCAGAGCCAAAGCCGGAGAGGGAAACCCTATTTTTTGGACCTAGGCTGATTTTCTCACCTCCAGTTGGGCCAAGCAATGGCCCCTACCCACCGACAACTCACCAGGGAGCGTATGATGCCGCGATGAAGAAGTAGATCACCATCCTGTCAAACATGTGCAAGCAGTGCTCCACGGTCCTGCGGGACAGACAGACAGATGGGTCACAGCCCGCGGCACCAGGGGCCTCCAGACCCTCTCCCTCTTCTTGAGCGATCAGGGTTGGTACCTGAGATGCCTCTTCTTCCAGGAGATGGTGTGGAAGATGGTGGAGACGATGAAGAGGCTGGACAAGCCAAAGCCATAGATCCAGGCTGAGATGGTTTCCCACTGGTCATCGGAGAGGATATAGAGGATGGAGCTGCCAAGGATGCTGGGCAGGATCCAGAACTGGAAGGGAGAAGCAAGCCTGTTGTTGACTCTCTGTGTTTCCATTGAGCAGCTACAATACAGTCTCTGCTTTTCCTTTCAGGTGTTTTTTTGCTTCTGCTTGAAGCTACCACCCATGAGGGGCAGGCTGGCTGCCCACGCTGCCAGGCAGGGTCTCTCCCTGTGTGGTGCAGCTCCAAAGTAGCTTCTCCAGGTGGAGGTAGGGGGAAGGAGGAAGGCACAAGGAGGATGGACACCTCTGAGTCATTTCCCAGGGCTCAGAGCGGGAGCTGCCAGCTCCCAAAGGAAACCCTGATGTAGGGAGCGCTTGCTCTCACGGCTGTGTAGGCAGCCCCATGGGGCGCCTGTCACTGTTCCTGCTGTGAAAAACACAATTTTCAGGGAGCTTTGCAAAATACTCCTGCTCCACTAAGCCCACAGCCAGCTTCCCTGGGGTCACAGGTGGGTGAGAGCGAGGAAGATGCGCACCGGCTTCTCAGGGCAGGAGGAGGGAGAGCATCCTCGCTCCTGCACATCTGCCTCATCACAGCCCCAAGACCCACAGGAGCTGCTCCAAGGCTGAACACAGACATTTTTAACCATAGAATCATTTAGGTTGGAAAAGACCTTTAAGATCATCGAGTCCAATCATAAGGACTAGTGTCCTTTGAGGTTCCTTAGGGGATCCACAGACAACTGAGCACCATCCTCCCTCGCCCTGGGATGGGGACAGGGACTCACTGCATGGGTGGCACAGTTTGCTGCGTGCTCGTACTCCGTCGGCTGGTACCTGCAGTTGGATGGGACACGGTGATTCATGAACCTGCAGGGAGAAGCAGGGAGAGAAACATGCTCAGGGGATGGGGCTCAGGGGAAAGCCCTTTTGGAGGGGTCTGCACAGGGACACCCACCAGCCCCCCCAGCCTGGAGCCCCACTTCAGCTCGGCTTTGCTCCAGCTGCCCTGCAGAAGTGACCCCAGCACTGGACCAGGCTTGTCCACCCGGCTGGCCCCAAATGCCAGGACCCCAGGTCTTGCTCATCTACAGCTCAAGCTGAAGCATTTCCCAGTAGCTGCCGTTGCTTGGAGAGCAGAAGGCAGGAGCCAGCTCTGCCTGCTGCTGCAGCAGGAGAGGGCAGACGTGGCAGCGGTGGGAAGAGCCCTAGCCATGAAGAGGGCACACGGAGTAGTGGGGGGACCTGCTCCAACCAGGGTATCCCCCGCAATGCCTTTGGTTTCTGGGTACCACCTGTATCTACCTCCTACCCATGGGGGCTGCATGTCCCAGCACAGACTGCTGCAGGGGGAAACCCCACTGTGCTCTCTTGGAAACCTGTATCTTTATTTCTGTTCCTCTTAGTCTGAGGTATCAGCTTGCTCTTGGCATTCAGAGGAACATACCAATTTCTCTTGTTGGATCAACACACAGTGATAAAAAATAGTGTTGGGCTTGGCTAGTCCATTGCTAGGTAGGTAATGCTGTATTAAGAGGCAAATTAAATGTGCATCCGCGATAACAGGTCGGAGCAAAGCGCTGCCTTGCTCAGCATCCTCTTCTGGCAGGGGCCAGCAGTGGAGGCTTAGCAAAAGGGAATAAGAAACGGGCAAATAGAGAGTGATCCTTCCCTGGCTGCTCCTCGTAATCAGGGGTTTAAAGACCTTTTCTGCTGCGGCTCAGGTCAGGACAGCCAAGCTGAGCGGGCGCCGGCGAGGCTGCCCTGCAGGACCTGGGCTAATTGCTTTCTGACCCCGTTTGCTCTCGGCTCCGACACCATCTGTGGCGTGTTTTACAGCTGAGCTGCGCCTGGCGAGGGGGCGAGGGGACTGGCAGGACCTTGCCGTTGGGTGCAGGGTGACCCCTCTGCCCGGGGCACGGGGAAAGGCGCTAAAAGTCCCTTCTCCCCCTCCCTGAGCCACCCACACCCATGTGGACTCCTCTGCCATCTCCTGCCTACTCAAACCCCCCCCCCGAGCCGCTCGCTGCTGTTAGCAGTGAGCCAGGATGGATTAAATAGCTCAAATATCAATGGTTTGAGTGCGGGGGGAGCGTGGCCACACAGGCCTGGGCGTGCGAGGCGCTCCCCGGCAGGCGGCAGTGACAGCCCACA